CTATTTAAGAAGTGCTTATCAGAGTCTTGTTTTTCAGCCTGCTGGAAAGCAGCATCTGTTATCCCTATTTTTAAAAATTCTGGAGAGCGATCCGATTCATCTAACTACCGTCCCATTAGTCTTTTTCCTATCATAAGCAAGGTTTTTGAATCTTTAACTAACAAACACTTAATATCTCATCTCGAATCTCATAACCTACTTTCTGATCATCAATATGGATTTCGATCTTCTCGTTCTACGGCTGATTTGCTATCAGTAATAACTGATAGGTTTTATTGCGCATTAGATAAAGGTGGAGAGGTTAAGGCCATTGCTCTTGATATTTCTAAAGCGTTTGATAAAACTTGGCATGCTGGTCTCCTCCATAAGCTTTCTTCTTACGGTATATCTGGAAACATCTTTAAGATTATTGAATCCTTCCTTTCCAATCGCAGTATAAAAGTTGTCCTTGATGGACAGTACTCTTCTTCTTATTCTGTAACCTCAAGGGTTCCTCAATGTTCAATCCTAGGCCCTATACTCTTTTTAACTTACATTAACGATCTTCCAGGTACTCTCACATCTAAGGTGGCATTGTTCGCTGATGATAATACCATTTATTTTTGACACGATAAGAAGCCAACTCCCTCTGATTACTTGCAGAGGGCATCTGAGCTTGAAAAAGATCTCACTTCTGTTACAGCATGGGGTTCACAGTGACTGGTGAACTTTAATTCAGATAAAACTCAATTTTTTTTTTATCGCAATAATTTAGACCTTCCTAAATTTATGAACGGTAATGTACTCGATGAGTCTTCTACCCTTTATCTTCAGGGATCAACTCTTACTTCTTATCTTTCTTGGAAATCTCATATTAAATCTGTTGCAAAATTAGCATCTGCTAAAGTTGCTTCTCTTTATTGAGCTCGTCACTTTCTTTCTCTGGATTCTATTCTCTATCTCTATAAATCTCAAATCCGGCCTTGTATGGAATACTGTTGCCATATCTGGGGCGAATCATCTAATGATGACCTTTCTCTTTTAGACAAGGCGCAAAAATGCATTGTAAACATAGTTGGACCTGCTCTTGCAGCCAACCTTCAACCTCTGTCACATCGTCGTAATGTTGCTTCTCTTTCTCTTTTCTACAAATACTACAATGGGCACTGCTCTAAAGAGCTAGCGTCTCTTGTGCCATCTACTAAAAGTCATTCTTGTGTTACTCGTCATTCAATTAAGTCCCATCCTTTTTCTGTTACTATTCCTAAGTGCTCCAAAAACTCTTACTCATCCAGTTTTTTTCCTCGAACATCAGTTCTTTGGAATTCGCTTCCTTCATCTTGCTTTCCTGATTCATATAATTTGCAAGTCATCTGCCAATCATTATCGTGCTCTACAATCTTCATCTTTTTTCTTCCAGTAACTTTTTACACTAATTAGTGGTTGCTTGCAGCCTTGTTAGAAGCGAAGATGTTTTTTTTAAAAAAAAAAAAAAAAATTATGATACATTTTTTTCAAACACATGTTTTTTTATAATATTTAATACTTAGGAAATACTGACTTTTGCCGAATATTCTTTAGATAAAAATAATATTTTCTTACATTACTCTAATCGAGGTAATAAACAATGGTAATATTTACTCAAATCATTATATTTGTCTCCAAAAGTTAATGCAGTTCTATTATACTTAAGTCTCTCACTAATTCTAATAATAAAAAGTTATTACCATTATTATTATAATTATATTTACTAACTTGTTATTACTAATATTTATCAAAAATACATTCTGGTTGTTGAAGTCACATTTATTCATATCAGTATGCAAATATTGTCAACAGTCAGATTGCACCATGCAGAAATATTCTTGAACATGCTGCAAAATACAAGATATACATAAGATACATATCATATAAGACCTATTACCTGAAACTTAACATTTTATTGTGTTTAACTTCTATAACTCAATTATAATAAATAAGCATAAGGTTAATCTATGTTATAATCTATATAATAACTATTATCTTTTTTTAGTTATTGTTATTTATGTTAAAGTTATCAAGTTAAATTAAAGTTTTATAACTAAAGTTTGAATGCAAAAGTTCATATCAATAAAAATTTTATCAGTATTATAAACATAAGTATTATATTACAAGTATTTACAAGTATAGGTATTGTAAGTATAAGTTATTATTATGTATATTATGAAATTATTGTTAATATTGCAAGTGTACAACTTTAAATCAAAATCAAAAAATATCAATGATTAAAAAAACGGGGTTGATGCATAACAATAAAGCCATTTTTTTGCATTTAAACATCTAATTATATCATTATTTGTATTATTTTGCTTGCATTAAATATAGAAAAACCAATGGAAAAGAGTGGATCTGTAAAAAAGATTTGAAAGCTTTTAATTACCTAAATATAACCTATCCATTACATTCCATAAGCCTGTTTGCTCTTTATAAATGTTTCCGACTAAATTAATTTATTTGATTAAACTCAAACTATTTATTACAATAACTAGCAGAAACAAAACTTTATATTTTGATCATGCAAACAGTGGAAACAGTGTTCTAATGGAGAATTTACTACATTTTTAATAGTTTCTGAATCATATGTTTAACAAATATGTTAAACTTTGTAAATTTATTTAAAAATAATATCAAATAAATAAATGAAATTTTAAAACAACGTCTTTTTAATAGAGTTTCACAGTGACAAAATACATCAAAAAAAAAAAAATTATCTTTAATTACAATGTAAATATAATGTATACAAAAAATATAATGCATAAAAATTAAATTTTTAATCTTCTTTCATGCACAATACGAATTATAAATGGCAACCATTGAGTAAGTTTTGTTGTGATTTTTTTTAATTATCATTTTAAACCTTTTGGGAACCTTATGGGAAACCTGTCAAATCTCCAGATTTTTTAACCCTGATAAAAACCAGGTAAAACCCAAACGAGCAAATATGCTTGATTTTATTATCATATGGGACCCGTCTGGAAACCAAAACACTTACCCGTCAAAATCCCGTTCCCGTAAGCCCAGACAAAAACCATACGGTACCCATTTGTCAATGTTGGCTGGGTGAGTAGATTCCACTGTAGAAATTAACATCAAGAAAATTCCAATTGAAACTAATCATCGACAATCAATTGAAAATATTGTATGTGCTGAGCAAAGTTTGATAAATTGTTATTCCTCTGACTCTGACTGCTTAAATAATCTTTCTTGTTATTATATTTTATCTGATGAAGATTAGAGCGTTTTCTTGATATTGATTCTTTGGACAATGAAAAACTATACAACAGGGAAGTTACAAAAGGTGTAAAGAAGCCTATAAAGCTGACAGTTAATATAGATAGAATTAGGGTATATTCAAGTCAATGCAAATTGTTTTGGCCAATTTTGATCAAAGTTAATAAAAGTTCACCGTATTTGTTTGCTCTGTGGTAATAGGAAATTAAGCAAAGCAATATTTCTTGTTACCTTTAAAGGGATCCCAAACTCCCAACACATGTTGTGTTCATATAACTATAATGTTAAAAAAAAGGTTTGAACCAAGTTTTTTTGATTAAAAATAAATAATGAATCCATACCGAGAAAAACTAATGTTGTTGTTTTAGCCGAAGTTCGCCTTTTCCATTTTTTTCAATCACTCGGAGTCTTTAAATTATAGGTCGCAATCTACAGACTTTGGCGATTCCTTTGAAGCGCATTTAATTCATAAAAGTTTTAGCATTTGACGTCACGGTAGATTTTTAACAAAAGAAAAGTGTAATTAAACTATGTTTTTCTACTGTAGTATTTTTTTAACATACAGCAAAACAAATTTATTTGTATTATTTTTCCAAACATCGCAAAAAAAATTTTGTAAAAAGTAAAAACAATAAATTATTTTTATTTTATAGGAGCAACTTACTTTTTACAGATATCTTAATAATTTTTAGGTTTATATATCTTACTTATATTTCTTTTGTTTTTAAATTAAAACAAATATTAAAGCTTTACTTACGAATCTATTGTTTTCATATTAGTGTATTACATTATATAGAACGTTATGTATACGGTCTCTCGTTTTTGTGCAAGAGAGCGCAGTATTATATATTCTGAATCTTACTTATTTTTATTTAAACAATGGGAGCTATTTTCTAACTTCTCTGGGAGCGTATTCAGCAAACTTTTTTTTTGCGTAAGTTTGGCGTAAGTTTGGCGTAAGTTCAAAACAGTGAAATTTGTATTCACGAAACTTGCGCAGTTGCGTTTCACAAAACTTAGTTACGTTTTTTCGTAAGTTCAGCGCTAAAAAATCGGTATTCATCAAGCTGAAATGGTATTCACCAAACTTTTTAAAAACTTACTCAGCTCAATTTAAGCAGGAAAAGTTACGTTAGATATGAGGTACCTTAACTTTGGCGTAACTTTAAAATCTTTATAATTATGATTCATATAAAGTCATATATTCAGATTGATATATAAATCTAAATATCAAAATAAATAAATCTAAGAATCTAAATCATATATATATATATATATATATATATATATATATATATATATATATATATATATATATATATATTACTGCATTGTTTGCATTGGTATGTATTTTTTATTTATTTAAATGTTGCTAACTTTGTGTAGTTAGCTATTGTGTTTATAAAAACAAGTGACTTATTATTTTTATTATTATTATTATTATTATTATTATTATTATTATTATTGTTATTATTATTACTATTATTATTATTATTATTAATGTTTTTGTTGTTTTATTATTATTGTAGTTTTTTTGTTTATTACTCTAAATACTATTTTTATTATTATCATTACTATTTTATAATTATTATTTATATATATAAAGTTCTGTATTTTTGGTGTTTACTTAAGGTTACTAAAATTACTATTTGTAAATATCCATGAAAATATTTTTCGGAATATATGATTGATTGATTGTATCAAAATATTGAATAATATATAACATATATATCAATAGTTCTTTTTTTTTTTACAGCTTTATTTAATTAAAAATGGATATTCCAATTATTCTAGCTACTCATAGTCATGATCAAATGTGGCGTGAGACTCAGCGTGTTACTTTAGATGATTACAATGATGTGGAGTGTGTCCAAAAATTTCGTTTGCCTAAAAAAAACATTAGAGATATTGTCAACACATTACACAATGATATGTCACCAATCACATCCAGAAGCAACTCAATTTCCTCAGAAGCAAAAGTGCTAATATCACTAAGGCTTTTATCAAGTGGGAGTTTTCAAGGAGTAATTGGTAAGATTTGTAGTCAATGCAGAGAAAATTAGCAATAAAAAGATGAAATTTTATGATCCTGTATTGTTAAATATGCCTTTCGTTAATGAACTATTAGAAATTGAGCTTAAAGGTGGTAGTTTGTAGAAAAAGTTTAAATTTAACTTTTTTCAGTTTATCAGTTAATAAAAAATTTAACAAAACCTTGTCTTTTTAACTTAACATAATGAAATAGATAGATTAATTTAATCCATAATTAACTCTTTTTATAGTTGTGTTCCTAACAGTGATTTTGTGTTTTGCAGACTTTTTGTAAGGTGTAGCTGTATTTTGGAAATTATTTGTAGGTTTATTCTGTCAAAGTTCACTTTTCTCTCACATAACTTGTTATGCTTTTATTTTATTTAAAGTATAATGACCCATAATCGTATTTGGCTTACATATTGTTTCATATAACTTTAGGTGACACCTCTCATGTAAGCCAGCCAAGCTGCAGCCGTATACTTCACCAATTTTGCAAGTATTTTATCCACCACTATCGCTACCTTGTCAAATGGTATGAAAGTCCAGAAGAAATGATGGAAATAAAGCGAAAGTACTTTCAATCATATGGAGTTATAGGTCTTCTTGGAGTAATAGATGGAACGATGATACAAATTAAAGGAGCCACTGGGGCTGATGAACCAGCATATATTTGCAGGTAAATTAATCATTTTAATTTAATATATCATTTTTATTGTATCATTTTAGGTTAATATATTAATGCAATTTTATTATTAATTTTTTTAATTTTTTATATTTCACATCGTAGTTCTTTAAAATTTAAAAATGTTGATTCAATTAATAAATTTATTTTAATAATTATTGTATTATAATTAATAGATTAATATAATATAAATAATAATAGGTCATATACAAAATAGTTTGTTTTTTTATGCCAAAGGTTATACCAGGTTGTCAGTCTAGCATGTTACCAATGTTTCCCAAAAAGTTTTTATTTAAGTGTTTTCTGAACTTATATATAAACATTTTTAAAATTTTTAAGTCTTATTTTATAGAAAAGGATATTCTGCTTTGAACTGTCAAGTTGTGATTGATCATGATGGGAAGTTTAGAGATGTCATTGTAAAGTATCCAGGATCCTGTCATGATGCCTTTTATTTTTTCAAATTCTGCATTAAAACAGACATTAGAAGATGATCCTAGTGCAGGTTTTCTTTTTGCAGATTCCGGATACCGGTTGTCACCAGTCATGATTACACAGTTTAATCAGCCAACTACACCACAGGAAATCTATTTTAATGAAGTTCATTCTTAGGTACGTAGTAATGTGGAGCGATCGATTGGTCGTTTAAAAAGCCGTTGGAGATGTTTGCACAAAAGTGGTGGAGCACTTCAGTACACCCCATCAACTTGCTGCAAAACATTTTTTACATGTGTTTTATTAGAAAACCTTTGCCATTGCTTAGGATTGGAATTTCTAGATGACATCAACTTTGAGGATAACAAGGAAGATAATTTACATGATAATCAGACTGAGTTTTCACAAGCCAACCAAATACGACTTGGTATTGAACGAAGAACAGAAATCAAAAATTATTTGTTTGCAAATCGAAGGCAATGATATATTGTTAAATTTGGCATGGATGTCCGCAGGATTTTTTTAATTTTTAGATGACACTTTAAGGCATTGTGTAAACTCTAAACTAAACTTTGTTCATGTTTATGTCAAATTACAAATATTTTGGAAAAAAAAAGCAGTGAATTGAGTCTGGTAACAAAAATATGTATAAATTTTTTCCTCAAACATCCACCCCCTGCTTCTCGCCTCCACGTCAAATGTCAGGGCATTGAATTAGGAAAATAACATTAAAATGCTCAAATACAGAATTTGCACAACGTCTGTAAGTGTCATATCTAAAACATCAAAAAATCCTGCAGGCCCCTATGAAATATTGTAACTTGTGTATACAAATTTTGTGTTTTAATAATTTTTAATTGTATACAAATTTTAATGTTTTAAGTAAACACTACTTAGGTGTTACTCATGATTATATAAGTAATTATTGCAAATTTAGTTGTATATTAAACAATTGTCAAAATTTACCGACCCTATATAACCTTTTTGTAGATCAGGTTAATCAATTCTGAACCCCTCTCTTTCCTCTTTTCGGTATAAAATTAAATATAAGGTTTGTCGATTCGCTTGATATCATTGCATATATTGTATTGGTAGTTAGAACCCTTTAAAAATATACTAATTTTTTAAACTTAATAAGTATGAACAGTTTACTTTATCTAATTTGGTACAAATTTATGGGAATCATGACGCAATGATAAAAATAGTGCGATTTTCAGGATTTTTATTTCTTCGAGATGCGAAAGAAGCATTTTTTACTTTTAAAACCCTTTATTTTGAATTAGTTTTTTAGTTGTTTGTCTTATTGAAACTAGGCTATTTCTTTAGTTTTAAAATTTATTTTATGCTTATAATAACTCGTAAATACATTTATTGAGTTTTAGATTCAGCCGAAGTAATCGTTTCCAGTGAACAAACAATTCTTTTAGCAGAGCTGGCTAAACTTTCTGTTGAAGATGCTATGCGTGTCAATGTTTCAGCTATACCTTCAAAGATTAGGTTATTGCTTGGAATAGAACGACCTAGAGCAGTGGCTATTTTCTTTCCGGCTGCAACAATTTCTTCTCCAATTTTTGACATGCTAGTCATATATTTATCAACATTGGATGATGACAGCTTTCTGCTTGTAGTTTTATTCGCTGGCTTTTTAGATCTGTGATTCTACAATTTTTTTTTTTTTTTCAGTATGAATTAAGTATAAAAAATAACAAAACACATCACATAGTAAAAAACTATTTAGGCTTTTAAGCATTTATATAAGTAAAGAATTTTATTAGCTAAAATAAGAGATTTTATTCACTATAATTAGAATAAGTAAGCGTTATAAAAAGCCTTTCTTTTTGTTATATAAAGAGAAACTTTTTTTTTTTGTATTTTTTTGTGGATCGTAAAAAATTTTTTTTTCTTCTTTGCATTTAAACTAAAGCTATCTTATTTTGTAAATTTTTTTTTTTAGTATAATAAAATACCTTTTTTTTAAGTAGTATGATAAAATACCTTTTTTTTTAATAACGGAACAGGAACAGTTTCATTTTGTAATAACAACGAAGGATCTGCAGATGGCGAAGAATTTGCCGGGCGAACTTCAGTTGTTGAAATATCAGGCGGAGTCATTAACTGAGGAAATGGCGATGAAGAAAATGTAGATGAAGAAGATAAAGATCGTTGTAAAGGAATTTTCCTCTTTAAAAATAAAAGTTTTGATTCTTTTAATATTTATAAACAGACTTCTTGTTGAACAAAATAGTTAACACTTTCTATATCAAACAAAAGTTCAAAAGAAGACAAAATTAAAAAAAATAATTAAATGCCAAAACAAGAATAGAACAATTGCTCATTGTTATAATTTACATATAAAGAATTAAGTTTTTATATTTGTGATCTTTATAAAAGAATAATATTTACCCTAACATAGTTTTCTTTGTCACCAGGCCGTTGAATACGTATTTTGCTATTTTCATTAAAACACTCCGTGTTAAATATTTCGGACATCGTTTCGCTTTTTTTCATCTAAAATAAGATAACATTAAAGTTATAGGTGAATATATAGATTAAAATATTTTTATTTGTACATTAAGCGCTAAAATAATACTTTTTTAAACTTTTTGGTAGTTCTGACACTAAATCGTTTTAATAATTTTTGAAAATCAAAACCAACACAAGTACATGTAAATGTTATTTTACAACACCTTACTTACCATAATAAACTACATATTAATAAATGAATAATAAAAAATATTTAAATAAATTTATTCTAAAAATTGCATGACTTACTTGCAAATTGAACTCAAAGTTAAACTTGTTGTTATAAATAAGATTTAAAGTAGAATAAATATGATTTATAATGCATATGTTGAAAGTACTTTAACAAAAATTAAAGCAGTATTTATATTAAATGGTATAAACCGAAATGAAAAAATCATCTTAGCAACTTCAATATTATAGATGCTATTATCAATAATATTACTATTTATTATTTAGAATTATTAATAAAATTAAATTAATTAAGATTTTTACGATGTAAAAGTTTTTTTTAAAATTATTTTATATTATTTGAAGAAACAATTTAAATATTTATCAGTATTAAAAAATTTTTAATTACTACGTTATATTATCCAATTTATGAGAGTTGAGAATTTGAGAATGGCTCGTTATTTTATCTAACAACTTTACACCTAAAAATATTCTGCTATATAAACTAAATAAATGCTTTTAAACTAAGTAGATTGAAATTATTTATTTAGCTCTATAGCAGAATTTGAAAAAAATATTGTTGTCATTTCATATAGCTGCAAAAAATTTCCAATTACAATAATAATAATAGAAAATTAACTTTGCGTAAGTTTTTGCGTAAATTTTTGCGTAAGTTTTTGCGTAAGTTTTGCGCAACCCTAACTTTACGGAAATGCTGCGAAACTTCGGTGAATACCAAAAACAACGATGAACGTACGCTTTCCGTAACCTTAGCTGAGCTACGCAAAAGTTACGAAAGTTTAGTGAATACGCTCCCTGGTTATTTTTTCGCTATGATATTTTTTGTTTTCCCGTCGAAAAAAAGTATTAACAATTAATTTCATAAACTGGCAGTATTAATAAGAGATATTTGATGAATCGTTAACTTTTTTTATTATAAAAATTTTTTGATTACACTGATCTATTTTAAATTGCTAAATTTGCTAAGTAGGATACGGATAAAAAGGAAATATCATTTTATTTTACATTTGATTTTTGATAATGAAACTTTTAAAATGTCGGCAACTCTATAGCAATAAGAACCTGTTAAAGGGATCCCAAACTCCCAACACATGTTGTGCTCGTTTTAAATATAATGTTAAAAAAAAAGGTTTGAACTAAATTTTTTTGATTAAAAATAAATAATGAATGCATACTGTGATAAACAAATGTTGTTGTTTTTGCTGAAGCTTGTCTTTTTCATTTTTGTCAACCACTCACAGTCTTTAAATTATGCGTCGCAATCTAAAGACTTTAACAATTCCTTTGAAGCGCGTTTAATTCATAAAAATTTTAGCATTTGACGTCACGGTAGATTTTTAACAAAAGAAAAGTGTAATTAAACTATGTTTTTCTACTGTAGTATTTTTTAACATAGAGCAAAACAAATTTATTTGTACTATTTTTCCAAACATCGCAAAAAAAATTTTGTAAAAAGTAAAAACAATTTATTTTATAGGAGTAAAGTAAGTAAAAACAATTTATAGGAGTAAAGATTAAAATAAAAACAATTTATTTTATAGGAGCAACTTATTTTTTACAGATATCTTAATAATTTTTAGATTTATATATCTTACTTATCTATCTTACTTATATTTCTTTAATTATTTAAATTAAAACAAATATTAAAGCTTTACTTACCTATCTCATGATTTTCATACGAGTATTTTAGATTATAAAGAACGTTTTATATACGGTCTCTTGTTTTTGCGCAATAGAGCGCAGTATTATATATTCTGATTCTTAGTTATTTTTATTTAAACAATAGGAACTATTTTCTAACTTCTCTGGTTATTTTTACGCTATGACAATATTTTGTTTCCCATACCAATTAGAACCTGTTAAGATTATGATAAAAAAAAAAAAAATTCAAGAATACACTAAACAATACAATTGACAGTAGTATCAGATATAAAAATTCGTGAAAGGATATGTGAGATCCTGATTTTGCATTAAAAGTACAATTAATTGTTAAGTTTACTGTTCAATACTTTATAACCATCTAATAAAAAACATGAAGTTTGTATATTTTCGCCCGTTTTATACAACTAATATTTTAAAAAAATACAGACAAATTATTATTAAATAACGCAATAATTAACACATAATTAAAGGCAATAACTCAAGATAGATGGGAATTTAAATTGTTAAAATGTCATAATGCTTATTAAAAAACATATTATATTTGGTATTACCAAATTTGTGTCGTAATTGGCATTTGTCTCTTAACATAAAAAATTAAAAATATTTAAAAACACAATTAACAAACACAAGTTTTCAAACAATTTTTTCTTCCAATTCTCATTTATTCAAAGAAAATTTACTATTAAACTTTTATTTCTCTCATCTAAAATAAGAACGAGTGACGCAAAAAAAAATGTATATTCTATACAACTCTTATTTATTCAAAGTTTAATTGCGAGAAACTTTTCTTTCTCTTTTGTTCTACTCTTTTATAAAAAGAGCGCCCGATGAAATAAAAACTTTTCTTTTTTAACATATAATTATAGTTTGAAATAAAATTAAATTAGAAATAAATCAACAATGAGCAAAGCAACAGATTAATCTAGGACTATTTTGATATTAATGAAAATTATCAACATAAACAACATTACCAACAACAATTATCAAATAAACAACACAATCTCGCATAATTTTAGAGGCAATTTATTTTTTATTGCTTAGTCGTTTTAAATAATAAGTAAATTTAGTTCAAGTTAATAATTCAATATTTACAGTTGCAATATAATAAAGAAATGGTGTTTAATACTGAACTTTTATTTAGTTTTATTTAGTTTTTAGTTTTATTTTTTTTTTTTTACCTAAATTTGTTAAAAAAAAATTTAGAACCCCCGTCATCAAAATAATTTGTTTTGACGTGATAATTCAAACTAATTTTTTTCGTTTGACTTTCCGAACTTCATGCAATGCAAATTGAAACGAAATATCGTCTAACTAAATAAAAAAGCTGTTACTAATTTTATACGAGTAATTAATGTAAAACAAATTTTTGAGATAATAAATGTTCATAATTTATAAACATTAAATATACGGCGCAATAAAAATTTAGAGCAACGAACCAGCATAAAATATTTGAGGTTTTTAATATCTTTTTAAATGTTAAAAATAGAAAAAATCAACTAAACAAATCAAAAAAATTTCAAATAAAAATATTTCTAGAGTTTCATTTATTAAAAGTCTAGTGTGACATTAAATACTAAAACTTTTATGAATTAAACGCGCTTTAAAGGAATTGCCAAAGTCTGTAGATTGTGACGCATAATTTGAAGACTCCGAGTGGTTGAAAAAAATGGAGAAGACGAGCTTCGGCAAAAACAACAACATTTGTTTTTCACGGTATGCATTCATTATTTATTTTTAATCAATGAAATTTGGTTCAAATCTTTTTTTTTTTAACATTATCTTTAATATGAACACAACATGTGGTGGGAGTTTGGGATCCCTTTAAGGTTATGAAAAAAAAGTACAAGAATACTCTAAACAATACAGTTGATAGTAGTATCAGATATGAAAATTCGTGAAAGGATATGTGAGATCTTGGTTTTTCATTAAAAGTACAATTAATAGCAACACAAGTCGGCGTTATAAATTTTGATTATAAGTTTACTGTTCAATACTTTATAACTATCAAATAAAAAACATGAAGTTTGTATATTTTCGCCTGTTTTATACAACTAATATTTAACAAAAATACAAACAAACTATTATTATATAACGCAATAATTAACACATTAATTCATGGCAATAATTCAAGATAAATGGTAATTTAAATTGTCAAAACATCATAAAGGGCGTTTTAAAACATATTTTATTTGGTATTTCCCAATTTGTATCGTATTTGGCCTTTTTCTCTTAACATAAAAAATTAAAAAAATTTTAAAACATAACAAATACAAATTTTCAAGCAATTTTCTCTTCCCATTTTCATTTATTCAAAGAAAAGTTACTTTTAAACTTTTATTCCTCTCATCTAAAAAAAGAACGAGTAACGCAAAAAAAAAAAAGAATATATATATATATATATATATATATATATATATATATATATATATATATATATATATATATATATATATATATATATATATATATATATATATATATATATATATGTATATATATATATATATATATATATATATATATATATATATATATATATATATATATATGTATATATATATATATATATATATATATATATATATATATATATATATATATATATATATATATATATATATATATATATATATATATATATATATATTCTATACAACTCTTATTCATTCAAAGTTTAATTACGCGAAACTTTTCTTTCTCTTTTGTTCTACTCTTTTATAAAAAGAGTGAGCGATGAAATAAAAAATTTTCTTTCTTAACATAAATTTATACTTAGAGATAAAATTAAATTAGAAATAAAGCAACAATTAACAATGCAACTAACAGATTAATCTGGGACTATTTTGATATTAATGAAAACATAAACAACATTACTAACAACAATTATCAAATAAACAACACAGTATCGCATAATTTTAGGGGTTTTTTATTTTTATTGTTTAGTCGTTCTAAATAATAAGTAAATTTAGTTCAAGTCAATATTTCAATACTTACAGTTGCAATATAATAAAGAAATGATGTTTAATGTTGAACTTTTATTTAATTACTTATTTTTTACCTGCATTTGTTATAAAAAACTTTTAAACCCCCGTCATTAAAATAATTTGTTTTGAATATACATTTCAAAGTGATTATTCAAACTAATTTTTTTCGCTTGACTTTCCGAACTTTATGCACAGCAAATTGAGACGACATATTATCTAACCAAATAAAAATACTTTTACTAATTTTATAAGGGTAATTAATGTAAAACAATTTTTTATCAGAGTCATGATTGAGATAATAAATATTCATCATTTATAAACATTAAATACATGGCGCAATATCAATTTATAGCAACGAACCAGCATAAAATGTTTGAGGTTTTTAATATCTTTTTAAATGTTAAAAATATAAAAAAAAAAAAAAATTAACATATAATCAAAAATTGTTCGAATAAAAATAAATAAAAATATTTCCTGAGTTTCATTTGTTAAAAGTCTACCGTGACGTCAAATTCTAAAGCTTTTATAAATTAAACGCGCTTCAAAGGAATCGTCAAAGTCTGTAGATAAATTTAAATGCCTATAATTTAAAGACTTCGAGTTATTGAAAAAAATGGAAAAGGCGAGCTTCGGCTAAAACAACAACATTAGTTTTTCTCGGTATGCATTCATTATTTATTTTTAATCAAAAAAACTTGGTTCAAACCTTTTTTTTTAACATTATCTTTAATATGAACACAACCCAGTAGGAAAAAGACGTCAAGCCGTAGTTGTGATTTGGTTCTATTTTGGTCGCGACGCAAGTTAACTAAATTCCAACGATGTTCCAACGTCGGCATAACGGTGTTGCTCTAACGTTTAATATCAAACGTTGGAACAACGTCGGAAAAACGTTGTCATCTAAAGTCTTGAATGTTAACATTAAAACGACGTTGGAACAACGTTGGTTGTTTAACGTAAAACCAACGTTAGTTTGATTAATGTTGGAACGACTTTGGAACAACATTGCTTTTTTTTTACGTTTTTACTTTTGACATCAAAGCAACGTCAGCTTTCTAACGTAAACACTACTTGATTATACATCTTGCGCATTTTTAAAATGGTTGAAAAAACATTATCGAAAAAGATGTTATTTTTAATCTAATTTTAATTTAATGGTTTTTAGGCATTATACTCTGTGATACTAATAATTATTACATTATTTCTTTATATTCTACATTCGAATTAGATATTAAACTTTTATCAGATTAATGATAAACAAACGTTACTAAAACTTTATTTGATTTTCAAAAACTGTTGATATTTTTGTTATGTTTTCGTATACTTTTGTATATTTAACAGTTTTGTATATTATTTTGTATAGTATTTGTACAGTTTTGTGTACTATTTTGTATAGTATTTTGTATATTTAAGTAGTTTTGTATATTTAACATTACTTATATAGTAAAAATTTCTAACATATATAATATTTGCACATAATATTTTATTTACAAATAGATAATGCAATGATAGGTTTTTTAAATACCCGTTATTAAACTATTTAGCAGTTTAATTAAATGCCAATAAAAATGCAGAGCCTTTTTTTTTAAGATATTCAATTCAATTGTCTAAGATAGTTGTAAGTTGTATTAAAACAAGGATTTTACTTAATATACATAATATATAAGGTATAAAAATAAGACAATTAAGTTATATTAAGACAAAGTCTTAATCATAATATATATTTTATTTATTTGAATGGAAAATTTTTTAATTTGTTGTGGAACTAGACTAGAAATTACCTAATAAGCTTCTTATAACTTGTGTAATGTGTTTCTTTTACGAATTTGTATATTGGTATAATCATATCATGCTATTCCTACAATATTATAACTAACACTGACTCATTAGCTTAAGTCTCAAGTCACGAAAAAGGGTAAACAATTTTTATGTATTTGTATTAAGTTATTTTTATTTTATTTTTTTTATTGTTATTCACCTCCGCGTTACTACCAGGAAAATGGTAAGGATAGAATTCATAACTTCTCACTATGAAGCAAGAAAAAAACATATCCTACAGAAACAGCAACAGAACATCTAAATTTTACACTAGATCTTAGTCATAATTAACAAAAT